TTCTCTCAAATTAGGAGTTATTTTTACCCTTATAACAGTATTTAAACATGGAAAAATAATGTATTCTTAAAGTAGTGACCTTATCATAGTCATCACTTAATTCTGAGGCTTTTTACAATGAGTATATTTCCAAATTTAGCACTTACTATGTATTATTAACCTTAGTGGCTGGAATAGCTTGGAGGCATTTCATGCCTTTATGTTCAAGTTGATTTAACTCCTAATTCTGAGATGCCTGTGGTAAAATGATAGTGAAGGTGAAACTGAATCCCTTTCATTTCAGGGCCACAAAGCTCTCTGCCAACAGAAAAGCAGCATTATTTTCAACACCTACAAGCTACAGAGGTGACAGTTATCAGGACTCCCACTGTGAAAAAAGAAAACCAGCACACAGTGAGATTATGGTTGCACAAATTTTAGGGAGAAGATAAACAAGCCACCAGATTTCCCTTCCCCTGGGGTCATGCCCCCTGTGCCTGGCCTATTTCATTACCATTCACTCACTCTCTTCAAAATCATTTGCTGAGCACCTACTGAGTAATGAGCACAGTGCTGGGCGCTTAGCACATGAAAGTGAGGCAGCCAAATCCACAGACTGCCTTCTGGGAGCTTATAGTCATCATTCAAGCATATACAGCCCAGCTTTCTACTCTCCCACTTGCAATTCCACCTCTCACCATGCTCCTGAGTCAACTGACTAAGAAAAGAATTGGAAGCACAGAGAACAAAAGAGGGACCGAACAGTTATATTTTTAATTTATATTTTTAATTTCTAGTCAGATCCCAAAAAGAGCTTAAGATATTAAGCACAGTGTGGGTGGCAGGAGATTGTTAACCAGCAATATATTCTGGATCAGCTGTGGGGTCCTAAAAGACACTGGGGGAAAAGCAAGGATATGAAAAGTACTGGCTAAAAACAGTTCAGGAAGGGGTTCAAACAAAGAGGGAAGGGGAAAGACAGGATCTGGTTCCTCACCAGCCGGGAGCACTGGTTAGAACCCTTTTGTTAGAAAATGCACACTTTCTGTGTTTCCTTACAGGAAGTATCTGCTGACCATTACCTAGAGCCAGAGTTAAGTGTTACCAAGTGGAATACACAAGTGTTCAGGCCTCTGAATTCCCCCCCATGCAGTGAAGGTCTTCTTGGCCTAGCCTCCTGCCCCACCCCCAACTCCACAGCTATTTCATAGTATAGTGCACCCAGCATATCTTGGGGAGACTAATTAGAGTTTTTTCAAAATATTTGGAAGAGAAAACCCAATGAGGACTTGGAGACAAAGACAGAACTTTTCTCTATAGAGATATGCAAATGGTGACCACACAGTGTTATTAGTTGGTCTGCAGGGCATTTTTAAAAAGAGGTCTGCCTCATGTTTTAATCTGGCATATACAGATTTACGGCCTCAAACACCATTTTCACACTGAGTTACAATCCATTAGTGAGATGTGAAATCACATGGATTCAGCCAATATTTTTTAATGAAATAGAATAAAATCAAACAGCACAGAATAGGAAATATTAGACTCCATTGTTGGTAATAGGAATACACATTGTTTTATGAAACTTGTTTCCATTCTATACACACATACTTTCTATTCTACACATAACCAATATCTCACTATCTAAATACATCTGTTTCGTTCCTAAGCAATAATTCATATAGCAAAGGATCCCATATAACTTTGCTTTAACTCGGTTGCGATATAAATGTACTCTCTTAAATTGAACAGCAGGTTTGGGGGGGAGGGGTTGAAATTCACTACCTTAAAGAAACTATAGCTAAATACAATGGAATTTAAAGAAAAAATTATTCCATAATAATTTAACACACTCTTCTTCTTTTGTACTAATTATCTTTCATTTGGTTCCCTGAACTTTTGTGTGTGGGAATACATCTAGTTTTGCTACAAACATTCTTTCAGTCTCCTATTACAGAGAGAAACACAAGGTGGGAAATAACTGAAAACAGGATGTGGGTATGGATGCACAAGGCCAAATCCCTACCATAGGGCAGCCCAGGCCAAATCCTGTCCCTCCAATGTGCCAAACCACTGGACAGAATCTGGACCAGAGGCAGGCTCTTTCCTCCTATAGAAAAGCTTTTAAAATGCCAATTTCTCATATCACTGGGCAAAGGACCAACTGCTCTCTAGGACAGGGAGCCCTAAAAAGGATAACGGCCAATTTATATTTATACGCAGAACTGAATTTGTTGAGGCATCATGATTTTTGTAAACTTTTTAACAAACTCTATAAGCAAAGCAGTATTTTCAAATGTGATTTTAGAAAAATTAAATTAGTTTGCCTGATACTCTTAAATAATCCTCCTTACCCCTACCCCTCATCCTTATCCATATATATCTGTATATATTAGAGAGAGAATAAAATAATAAAATAAAATAAAATAATAAAAAGAGCTATCGCATGGCCTTGGGCTACCTGTGAAACAATGCTGCCAGCACTATCCAGGGGCTTCAACTGGCTCTCATTGAGCTCCCTAAAATTTCCAAATATATCCTCAGGGTGTGTTTCCCTAATAGCCACATGTCCAATCCTAATTCAGGACTCACCAGCTTACAACAGATAATTGTAACAGAAGAACGACTATTCACAAATGAACTTAATCTAGTGAGTACTGTCTACACCCTGGAACTAACCACAATACAACCTCACAACACCAAGGTCATTGTTCCCCTAGCATCTTAGTGACAACTATGTTACTAATGAATTAAATGTTTTGGCCTTAGAGTCACCAACAACAGTCAGATTCGGCCCAAGACTGGGTGTTTAGAGAGTAAAGGTTTGAAACCAACTGACTGAGTCTCAACTTTATCATGAGTAGAGGAAGGAAGAGGACTTTTGTCAGTCAATACCTACAATTATAATACTGTTGCATTCTTTAGCTATATAAATTCTTAGTAATTATATCTGTAACATTAGTTGCTTTATGGTTTAGCTTTATATTGTTGAAAAAATAACTTTGATCATGAAGTGACATTTCTCAAAGTCTCAGCCAAATGTAATAAGCATACACCTCACCCATAGTGCCAGCTACAGAGAATTTACCCAATACACATGACTACTGAAAAGCACCAAAAGAAAGAAGTTTTAGTTCTCTCAAAATATTTTAATTCTGTGATTTTCAAGGTAATCAAACAACTGCATAGCAGAGTAAGAATCTTAGCAATATATAATTGACTTATATTTGTCTTCCAAATTGTACTGCAAATATAACACGAAACTTTTTTTTTTTTTTAATAAACTTCAAGTTCCTTAGGTTTTCCCTATGAAGTCTACCATCACATAGATAGGTACACTTGGCAGTTTATTTCTGTTTTCTAATCACTTTTCCATTCCTCAAATTAGGAAATTTCTTGAATTTCCTAACGACAAAGCTTATTCATAAAAACAGCATGTGCTAATGATAAGTCCGAGTCAATTAGAGGCTGCTGGAGTAAATTTACTCAGAAAGCAGTTAGATTTGGTGGTGGGACAGTCCCTTTAGCACCAGTAGGCACTTCCTCTACTAGGTGGCAGTTTCTAAACACCAAGTAAACAATTGTAAGTAAATTATCTCTTAAATCAGAAATTTACGCTGCTCCACTGCAGCTCACCACACAATTATAGTAAGATTCAAAACTGAAAGGAGACACTTCACTTCCAACCTACTAATAAATACACACAACAGCACATCTTCAGATGAACAACAGAAATTTTGATCAAATCAGGGCATTTATGCGTATACTATTCAATACGCAAGTATATTGGGACATTTTTAAACAATGACAATTAAATTTTCATTCTGAAGTTTTGCTTTCTTACACACCTTCTGTATTCCATGAGCCATTAATAGTAGGGTCATTTTGGGGGCGGAATAGGTAACCCTTACACCTTCTCACCAACATCCATAATCCTGCACTGTGGTCTCCAATGGCATTTTAAAAAAATAGGCTCTTAGCTAAACTCTTTCCAACAAAAGGAGAATGGAAAATGAAATTGCAGAGAAGTATGAAATACAGAAGCTTCAACTTGTCAACACTTGAAATTACATTTTCAGATTCCCTATCACAAAAGGCCTGGATCTAAAATGAGTGTTGAAGAGAATTCTCCTTACCTCTGGATAACAGACAGGCAAGAAGGAAAAAGGAAGAAGGTAAGGAAAAAAACAATTTCCAATGGATAAAAACATGAGAACATATGGCATCATCACATTGGCAAAACCACTCTCTACCTGTTTGGATCTTCAGAGAAGGGACGGGGGACATTTCTGCAACCCCAGAGAGATGGCTTTCTGCACACATAATTTAAATAAAACACTCCAGCACGAAAGAAGAGCAGCAGAACTCTTCTAATTACCACCGCCTGGACCTTATGTGTTGCTTTTTCTTTAAAGCCACACTAGTTCATTATTCTGCCTTCAACTCTCTGAAATGATTCATTCCCCCTTCACTCCTGAGCAGACTCTGCAGGGAAGCTAGTATTTAAGTTTAATTTCTAGTGCCACTTGCTTTGGAGAGTTGGATGAGAGCAAGGAGGAAGAATCTAATTTAATAATTCTGTCATGGTTTGGAGGAGCACCCTCCACCCCTACCCCAAAAAATAACCAGACAAGCAAGACCCTCTGGCAAGCTATAATCGTGAGCGAAGACACCAATCGGGAAAGCAGGGCCCACGTGTGGTGGGTGCTGTCACCCAAGGGAAGTGGCAGCCGGCGAGGAGGAGGCAGAGAGGGCGGGAGAGAGTCAGGCTGCTGCTTGCAGCTGCACCGGCCTGGGCGCTCCGAGAGAGACCACGGCTCCAACTTGGAGGTGCTTAGCTCCCTCCTAGACACTAGGCGGGGAGAAATCAAAGGGCAGGGAGGCTGGATCCCGCGTCTTCGGGAGCTGTTCCTTGGAAAAAAAAAGCGAGAGCCCCGGAGCGCGCCGCGGGCTACCCCAGAAGCCCGAGCTCGCGCGCAGGACGCGGGGCTCCACCACGTCCGGGGCGCCCCCAGCCTTACCGTCCCAGCTCCGACTCCACCTCGAAGAAATCGCTCAAAGCATCCCTGTTGGAACCTTCGATCCAATAATCCGGGATGAGGCTCCCGGCTCCCGGGGCCACACTGGCGGTGACCGAAGAGCAGGACGAGGCGGAGCACGAGGGCACCGTGACTTTGAGCATCTTCGCGGCGGGACTCCGGAAGCCGCCACCGCTGTCGCCGCCGCTGCCGGAGCGAGAAGCCCCGCCGCCCGCCGCCGCCTGCAAACGCAGGAGCAAGAGGTGGCGTCCTTCACACACACGCACACACCCACCGCCGCCGCCGGCGCCACCCCCGCGCCCCGGGCCGCGCGCAGGCTGCGGCTCTCCTCCAGCGAGCTCGGGAGGGAGGGAGGGAGGCAGAGCGGGTGGGTGGAGAAGGGGGTGAGGAGCTGCGAGAGGGTGTGGAGGGAGAACCCGGCCGCGGCCAGCCGGAGAGGAGAGGCGGAGGCACTGCAAAGGAGAAAGATTCCCTCCCCCTTCGCTTCCTCCCTCCCCACGTCCTCTCCTCCCTCCGCCGAGCTTTTCCAGCCCCCTCCCTTTTTTTTCCTTTCTCCCTCCCAGGCTGTGGCTGCGGCGGTGCGGGCTAGGGCGGCTCCGGATGCAGGAGCTTGGAGAAAGCACGAGGACCAGAGCATCATCCCACGCGCCCTCCCGCGGGAGCCGGGAGCCTGGAAGGGACCGCGCGCAGTGGGACGCTCGCTCCAGGAGTGACTCTCTGGGAGCACAGGGGTCGGGACCACCTAGCAGAAGGGTGAGAGAGCGACCTGATTGTTGTTCGCGCCACTCATCCCTCCCTGAGCGCGTCCAGGTGGCGAGTCCCACCCACCTACCACCAGCTAACCAGCCATCCCCTGTGCGTCCCTCTGTCAACGCTTATATTGGCGGCTGGGGAGGGTGCCCTGTGGTCGCCGATCTCCCAAGGCTCCTGTGCCCAGCCCCAGTGTAAGCTGGAGGATAAGGTCGCACCTGAGTCCACACTGACCTGACTCACCTTTGAGTGTAGTCTTCAGTTGGAAGAGATGCTACGGTGCTGCCGCCGGCACTGCCTCCTTTAGCGCTGCTGGAGCTCCTGAAAGGGCAGGTGTTTGCCTTGTCTAGTTCACTCCCAACCCTGAAGGCTAGAACAGAAATGACCCAGAGAATTACAGGTCTGGAAGGGCGCTGTGCAAGCCTTAAGGCAGGACCTGTTCCCATTCATGATGGAGAAGATTGCTACATTTAAACCACTTTCCTCTTCCCAAGAGATGTGCCCCATCACAGGCATTCCACTGGCTAGTCTTCCAAATACTGGTTAAATGTATATCATTTATATTTCTACCCTTGAACTTTTTTTTTCTGGGCTTCAGCAAAGATAAACAACAATCAGTCATATTCCATAATAAATCTTTATATGTAAAAATAGTACCTCACACCTATTTCTGTCTAAATAACTCTGAGGCCCTTTCTTTAACCTTCCTTCACAGGTGTTACTTTCAGTATTATTACTATTTTTTTACTTTCCTCCAACATGCACTAAACTCTTCTCATGTGTTCCCATTCCTGATACCATCGTAACAGCAGCACAATATTCTCTAATTTATTTATTTATTTCTGGCTCTTAAGAGGTTTCATGCTAAATTGGTAAACTACAAAAAAAATTAACCAAATAGTGATAAGAATATGATCCTTAGTTGATAAGAATTGAAAAAATAAATATAAAAACTATTCCTTACAGGCAATTTTATGAAGATGAGCATATGCTCAATTTACAAAGAGCCTAAAAAACAGCAAGTATTTGTACATTCCTACAAATTCAGTGTGATTTTCAGACTGAAAATGCTCACATGATGTTACTTTTCAGAGAATGAATTCAGTAATCTTCATGTTATAAAATCAAGTCCATACATACAAATTTTAGTTCTCATGAAGTAAGTGTCCCTTGGCTTACACTGTCTGGCGGAGGAATAGAATGAAGTAGTTGCTAGGCCATTTTTATTCACACTTCTCTGAGGCTAGTTCTGAAGTGGCAGGACTACATGTACATACTTGTCTGTTGACAGCAATTCTTTTTACAACATAAGTCCAAAGCAAGCATATTACATTGAAAGAGATGATAAGTCTTTTTAATCTTGCTATTTTGGGGAACAATAGCTAGAGAAACATCATTTCATGGCACAAAGGAGACTGTAGAATTGATATTTACATTCAATGCTGGTTTAGCCATTTGATAGTTATGCTTTTCAAAACTGATTTTGTAAAAGTGCTATCAACTGATGTTTCAAAAGAGGGTATCTAGTTTAATGAATCAGTTTATGTTTATTTAAAAACAGAAAATGAAAATAAATATTATTTTAAAACATATGGAAAAGGATTGAATCCATATGATTTATCTTCACTCCTTACAAAATATCTAAGATGACCAGAAAAAAAACAAAGGCATATGTCCATAAGAATAAAGGGAGAAATAATATCAACTAAGTCTCTGAATCTAAGAACAGATGGACTAATAATAACTGACTTAGAAGAATAGATATACTCAAAATCCAGATTTGTAATGGGAGAAGTCAATAGAAAAGAAATATAATTCTTACCACAGAATTCTAGAAATGCTTAGGAACTGAGTACCAGATCTTTCTAAAGTTAGGGCAGAGAATAACACATTAGTTGAACACTTTTATACGTTCTTAGGCCCCCATATTTCTTCTACTCTTCACTGCCAAAAAAAAAAAAAACCACACAGTTTCTTTTCCAACCCCTTGGAAAAGAGAGGAGATTTAATCTTTGGAAATGTTGAAAAACAATGAAATGTGTCTTACATCACAAGGTACAGCTCAGACCATATTGAAAACAGAGGGATTCATGAAACTACATAATAAAATGTGAGACTTCCAGGTCCATCAGACTCCCACAATGCTGACAAATAGGCATCGGTCTATCAGATCCCCAGCCACACAGGAAATTAAAGGACTCCTCGTTGAGAAGAGTAAACAATCCAAGGAGAGAGGGATGTTTGGATACTGACAATTAGGATACTCCCCCACAACAAAACATCCTGATTTTTCTCAACACCTTACAGTGAAGCTTTTCATTCAACAGGCTTAAAGACCCAAAGCTTCCAATTACCCATTTTTTTGTCTCACTCATATACATGGCTAAAGTTCCATTCTGGTATGGCAGAGGATCTGGTATGACTAACCTTCTATATATAACAATTATAATCTCTGGATTAAATATAAAAAAGTTATTTAAATGTGCAAAAGACCTACCAAAATCAGAAAAATGAAAATAATGTAACCCTCAAAAGAAAGGAAATTTTCTAAATGAGGTGCACATTTATTTAGCTTTTCCATGAGGACTCTACAGGCGACACAATCTCAGTAGCTTGATGTGTCAGAAAACAGAATTCAGGGCTGGCAGAGAGGCTAGAAATTAAGGAAGAAATTCCAGAAAGAAGGGAGTACACTGAAGGAATCCAAAAATCTACATACATACTGTGCTCAAATACTAAACTAATCTCTGAACTACGCATATGTGTGGGAAATTCCAAGGAACTTAGCAGAAAACACAAAGCAATAGCTGGAAAGTTGAAAGCTGAGAAAAAATTTTAGCTGTTCCTCACCATAGGAGAGACATGGTTTGGAGTATGAGTTTGACCAAGTTTAACTGTGTGTTACAAGAAAGAAAGAAAAAAGCTGTTTAGGAAAAAGATAACAGAACCCAGAATCTCTGCAAGGAATCACTGACCATCCAGTATACAATTAAAACAAAGATACTCGATATGCAAAGTGGTAGAAAAATTTGGACCACAGTCAAAAGAAAAATGAATCAATAGAAACTAACACCAAGATGATTAATGGACTGATATTCATAGTCAAAGAATTTAAAACAGCTATTATAAATACGTTCAACAATTTTTTAAAAAGATATTCACAAGTGTACAGTTGGGTAATACTACCAGAGAATGGAAACTCTTCAAAAGAAAAAATTGGAAATTGAAAAACTGAATGGACAAACTATCTGAAATTTGCAAAAAAAAAAAAAAATTGCTCAAAACTCTTCAAAACTTACAGAAGAGTTCAGATTGGAAAGAAAAGAATGGGTGAGCTTGAAGACAGAATATGGTATCTAACTTCCAAGACAGTCCCCACTAATCATCTCCTGATAATCATGCTTTTCTGAGTTCACCTACCACGATGAATTAGGGTTGACCTTTGTGACAAATAGAACATGGTAGAAGTGAAGGTGTGTGACTTCCACAGTCATAAGAGCATTTCAGATTCTGCCTTGATCTCCTAGAATGCTCATTCTGAGGGAAGCCAACATCCATGGCATGAGGATTCTCAAAAGCTGCATGGAAATGGTGATGTGGAGAGGAACCAACTTATCAACCATGTGAGTCAGCCATCATGGAAGTAAATTCCTCAGCCCTGAACAAACCTTCAAATGACTACAAACTCAGCCAACATCTGACTAAAATCTCCTAATAAACCTGAGCTAAATCACAAAAACATTCAGAATTTCAAATAACTCAGAATTTTGAATTAATATAAACTGTGGGAGATATTGTCGTTTTAAGTCAATAAATTTTGGAGTGATTTGTTTTTCAACAATAACAAAACAATAAAAGCAAAGCTATAGAAATCAACTAATGTAGAGAACAGTAACAACAAAGAAAGAAAACAAAAAATTTTTTTAAAAGGGTAGGGGGGCAAGTCTCAGTGAATTATAGGTCAATATCAAGACACCTTACATAACCCTGGAGTCTCAAGAGATAAAGAGAAAGGACTGGGGCAGAAAATTTATTTGAAAAATGGCTGAAGTTCCCCAAATTTAGGTTAACATCAGCTTATAGATTCAAGAATTTCAGAAACCTAAACAAAATAAGTAGAAATAAAACCACACCTAGGCCCATCTAAGTCAAATGTCTACAAACAATAGATAAAAAAATGATTTTGAAAGCAACCTCTGCTGGGGCTGTGGGTTGGGGGAAGAAAGAGAGAGAAGGATAAAAGTTTATTATAGATAATAGGGAAATAATAATACAAATGCCAGATGACTCCCCATCAAAAATAATGTAGGCCAAAAACAATAGAATATCTCTAAAGTTATTTAACTTTGAAGATATTTAACTATTAAAGAAAAAAAAACTTGTAATCCGAAATTCCATACTAAAGGAATATTTTTAGGCTGAAGGAAAACAAAGAAGATGAAAACTGAGATATACAGAAAGGAATGAAGATAGCAGAAATATGTGTAAATAGAAGAAGCTCT